CTCGGGGGCCGTGCTATATTGTCGGGTGGGGGGGGGGGCCCCGAATTTTTTTTTCTTTTCCTCTTTCCCTAGGGACAGGGGGGTTTTTTATGGGGGCATGCGCCCCCGGGGGTTGCCTTTTTGTCGCTTTACGTTGTAGGCCCAGGCCCCGCTGTTTAAAACTTGTGTTTTTTTTTTTTTGGGCCGGGGGGGCCCCCCCCCCCCCCCATCCCGGGCGACCGCCGCGCGCCTTTTTTTGTGTTTGGTTTTTGTCAGTTTCCTTTTTTTTTACGTCACGTCGTGTCACAAAAGACGTATACGAATACTACCGCCACTCGGGGACCTCATCATGACTTCGGGGCTTCCGTTCGTCCTGTGGAGTTATACCGACACCCAAACGATAGGTGTACCATAGACTTGAGTGGAAGGGTTATCACATGGGCATCGCGATTTCGCGCCCACAGCAGCAGCGCTTCAACACGTTGAACAGAGGATGCGGGCCTCGATTTCAATTGGACCAGGGTCTTGATTGTGTGTCTTGTAAGAGTGCTAGATGGGGCGCGCTGCTGGACCAACGAACGTACTTGTCTTTTTCCCAGCCAGGGCGCGTCGTTCTTCTTCTGATGGCGTGTAGCGTTACGGAAGCACGCGCCTGTTGATCGAAACGTGTTTGTCGAGACCACTGGTTTCGTCCTGTTGAGTGGGATGGTTTAGTAAGTATTTTTTTCATTATCTGGGGCCTCGTTGTGTGTATTTTTTACCTCCGTCTCATCTTTCATATCTTGTATTTTCCTTCTCTCTTTTTTCCGTGTTTTTTTTTCTTCTATTTATTCATGTGCTGTGAAACCGAGAGTAGACTGTTATTGCTGAGTGAGGAGCACTGTATTTTAGACTCCTCGACCGCCATCGGATATTGGCTGGCCTCTGCCCGCCAGCCTGGCTTCTTCCACCCGCCCTCGTAGGCGGTGTTGGCGAAGCGAGCCTCGATGGTTCCGTGCTCCCAAAAGCTCTTGAGAGTGCCTGGACACAAGCAATAGCCGGCTGTTTCCACCATAGATTTGCAGGAGTACGGTAGTGTGTGGATGCGTGCAGGCGAGTATGATGGCAGCAGCAGTCGTGCATGATACGTGTCGCGAGAGAGGAGTGGGTGCATGTGAGCGTTCGGTATGTATTGTTGGTTGGGGGGTGGGGGGTACTCATAGTCATGCATGCCGTAGTCGTTAGACCATTGACCTCGCATCCCTACAGAGCCGGGACGGAGCACGCCGGGTTCTCACCGGACCAGGCTCTATGGTGTGGGGGATTTAGAAGACCTTGTTCGTGGACCCATCGTATTTATTTGGTTCTCTGCGCCGCTGCATGTGCGCGGATGTGTCGCGCACAAATTTTGTTGTGGTCTTGAAGGTGCAACACCGCCGTGGTAGGCGTGAGCCTGGAGAGATCTTTCGCCTTAGGAAACCCGTGGGTAACGGATTCGAAACCCAAAACAATATGATCATGAAGCCGTTCTGGGCAACAGAAACACACGATGCACACAGAGACGGTTAACAGAGCCTGGGACGGGCAACACCCCGTCGTACGCATACCGGCGAGAGTGTTCGGTTTGGTGTAAACCCGAACCTACTTAGCGGAAAATGCCACGATGTGCGAGGGGTGGGTTGTTTCGTGACTCTGCTTCTGCCACCCGTTTCTAAAGCGGCTGGTTGTTTGGAAGAGGGGTGCGCGCGGTGCCTGCCGTCGTGTTTCTTTCTTTTTTTCGCGTTCCGCACGGACAGCAGGCGGTCAGTGGAAACGTGTTGGATGTGAAGACAGGAACAACGATAACATCAACCACGGCCACGACACGAGCGTTGCTGTTCACGACCTGAACAGCACCTGCTACCTCCTTCCCAGGAAAAAATGGCGCTGCGCTTGTTCTAATGTTCTACTCAGATTGAAACCACACTCTGTCCTTGATAATCCTTCTCGCTTCCTCCGTTCTTCACATCCCCAGCAGAGGCCACACGTTGCTCTGTGTGATCGCCACATTTCTGCACCACCGTTTCGATTCCAACGGTCGTGATATTTCTCGGGTCCACCCCAAGATATAGTAAGTGAGTTTAGGCAGCTCATCACTTCGGGGGTGGCGTCGTCCGCAGATAGGTGCACAAGAAAATAATACCACTTTTTTTCCTTCCGGGTGATCCTGAGCTCGCCAAGCGCGGGCTGCCTATCCTCTCGCTCGCTCATGTCGCCAGCAATAAACAAAGCTGGCCCGCCTGGGGTCAGCCAGCAACAACGGCAACCTACAGGGCTTACATCTCACCATCGTCCAGAGGGTCGTGTCGTCGAAGTGCGTACGTAGCAAACAGCACGCGCACAACGGCGGCGGCGCTTGCGCCCCGCAATCCAGAACTTACGTAAGACCTAGGCTCGCTTCTCGCTTCCTCTGCGAGCACCTGCGGTAAGCTAGCTCGTCGCAGAGAACGGGGCTCAGCCCGACGCGAGATTGATTGCGCCGCCACGTGCTTTCTCTTATCACCCAGTCCCTTATTGTTGTATTGTTGAGCCACGTTCACCAAAACAAAAATAAAATAAAAACACTTTTAGTTAGGAGTAGCATGACAAACACACAAAAAAAATGACGGAAGCTACCAAGTACCCTCGGGAGGCTGTTGGGTTCCCGACCGACCGAGTGTGACGGAGGCCAGGACGCACAGACGGCCGTTGCGATGCGCTCTACGGGCTTCTATTGGCAAATTCCTGTGACCATTCAGGAAGAAAAAACAACAGCGGGCCTACTCAAGATAAGACGTCACTTCGAATCCAATCTGCAAGGCGAACGCTCTGACATCGTATCCACCGTATCCAAGCGCTGATAGTAACACACCACTTCAATAGACCGTTCACTCATCTATTTTTCCCACGATGAAAGTTCGAACGACGTTCCTCGAAGCTTGAAATCGATCGACACAGCGGCCGCAAGAGTCTGCATGTGTGTTTAGGGGTCTTCAATATACCTCCTGCTCTTAACGTTCTAGGCTTGGCCCTTTTTTTTCTCGGCGTGGAAGCAAGGGAGGCGCCCGGACAAAAAGAAAAAGACAAAACAAGGAAAAATCATCCACTGACACTTCGTGCACAGAGGCTTCGAGTGCCCCCTAGGTCTCACAACGGCAGCCAGAGACACACGAATGACAAAGGTACCGTTCTCAACCGGTACAAAATGAATCGCCACGAGACCGCGCACGCGAACAACCACAGAAGCGGTGCCCCCCCTGGTTCCATCGCAACCAACCATCTGTGCATGGGCAGCACAAGCAGGAGGCCTCTCAAAACAAGAACTTGGAGTCCCCAATATTGGGCCAGTCGGCAAGGCAAGGGACAAAAAAAAAACACGGCGAATAGGACAATGCAAAAATATCTTCGTGTTGTCCTCCACGGACGTCCACGACATGCGTACAGACCGAGACCCAGGGGGCATGTCACCGCACCTAGAGGGTGGGGGTCCACGAAAGGACCAGAACGAACCTCGCTTCGCTCGGACCGAGAGGGCGTAACGACACAGTCAGTCCTTCATCGAGCCGTCTCTAGTGGCTACGGAGAGGGCTCCATGATGAGGTTGAAGTGGAACCTAAGTGTAGGCACAAGGTTGCTATCTTCTCTGCTGTACGAATCAGATAAACTACAGGAGAGGGGGCGGAGGTCAAAGGTGGAAACAGCTATCATTCTACAACCAAACGTCAACGTTGAAAACGCGTCACCTACTGTAGCTAAAAGTAAAGCCGGGAGGACTCCAAATTCCCCTCGGAGAGAAGGAGTGCCAGTACAAAGAAACAAACGAAAATCACCAAAATACCGAAGTGAAACAATCATAAAAAAGACAATTTAACGTGGAATACCCTCACGTTTTCGAGTTTGTCCTGGCCTTGTGTCCACGGATGGATACAGATGGGTGGCTTCGTCGCACACCCCTCGCGACAAACACACAAGCCCGATACGTAGTGCTGCCTACGCTAGTGATGGAATCACCGAGGCTTGTAAATGTCTCTGACACACAATCAATGCTGTCGCGCCGATAACAAAACTGCCGGCCTTAGGGGTGCGCCGTTGTAGGCTCGCCCACATACGGAGAGATCAGCACGCCTAGAAACTCCCACACCTGTTGGGGCAGCACGCGGGAGCAAGGGTCACTTTTTGAGTTAAAGGAGTTTTATGATATATATATATTTTTTTTTTTGGGGGGGGGGGGGTGACAACAAATACTGCTGTCTTTGGATAGCGAATAGAGCTAGCTGTATGGCAACAAGAGTCACAGCGTCAGCAACAACGTCGTGGCGATGACGGAATGGTGTTCCCTTTGGGATGAGAAGAGATGCTGTATTACGGCGACGGATTGAGCAGTGAAAATAACAAAATAACAACAACAATAACAACAACAACAACAACAACAACAACAACAACAACAACAACAACAACAACAACAACAACAACAACAACAACAACAACAACGAAGCAACGAAGCATCCAACAACGACAGCATCCAACAACGACAGCAGAGAAGACGGCAAAAAGTGGACACGCAACCACGCAGCACCCACCTCCACGGGGACGAGCATGTGATAATGCCGCCCGTCCGATTTCGGGGTCGCCCACTCCTGATCTTTCACGATGAGGTCGCCCTCCACGAATGGAACCCCTAGCCTGGACATCACCGGCCTTGATCGCCTACGGCAGCACCATTTGTTTTTCGTTCAGGGGGGGGACATAGAGTGCGCGAGGGGAATAGAAAGCGTTGGTGTTGCGCAATGAAATAGTCGTTCCTAACATCTAGCGACCATTTCCGCGCACACAACGAGTACTAGTAAAGGACGTGCAGCAATCTCCCGTAAGGGAAGGGGCTCCGCCGAATAATCCAATAGCAAGAATGCGTACCCTTACGCCTAAGGACCAACACACGGCCCCCCAGAATCTCCGTAGGTCCGAATCGAGCGCTGGGCTCCTCAAACACCTGAGCTACCATGTCATTTTCTCCATTTTTCTTGTACGTTCGATCCAACAACGTGTGTAATTAGGTACGACCCCATGACACCAAGGAATCACAACACCTGCACAAGAACTATCTCACGCTTTCACGTTCGACTAACAACCTGCCCGCCTACCCAACTACACATGGGAAGCCTCTGTGTTCGCCAGCCACAAGCAGCTGACACACAAGAACAAGAAGCTCTCAACGCCAAAGTCGTTCTCCTCTTTTTTCTCTCTCTTCCTCCCCCTCTCCCTCTCCCTCTCCCTCTCCCTCTGTCTGTCTGTCTGTCTCTTTCTCTGTCTCCCTCTCTGTGTGTGTGTCTCTCTCTACGTGTCTGTCTCTCTGTGTGTACATAAATTACGTCGCGTCACCTGTTGAGAACCTCCGAGCCGTTACGGTCCATCAGCCCGAGCCTGCAGTAAGCATCCACCCCGTACCCCCTCCGGACCTGCCACCCCCGCCGCCAA